ACTTGGAGTGGGAGTAAGTAGAGAGAAACACGCTTGTCAAACGCGTCAGTGTTTTTTCGAGTTTATCTGCCGTTCTTTCGCCGTGGGGCGACTTTGTTTCAGGTAGATTGCATGCACATATATGCAGGACTGACTGCAGATATAAATCAGCAGTATAGGAGTCGAACAACAGACGAGAACGAGGATTCTGGGTGGTTGCGACAATTTGGAGGTTAGGTGAGAGAAGCGAGGGAAGGCACGGAGAAGCCGAAGCCGGAGATAACGAAAACACTGTCGGTAAAGAAGAGAGGACAGGAGAAAAGGGGTGCCGAAAGGATAAAAAGCGAGAGAAGGATTTAGATGGAAGAGAAGAGAGAGGAGGGTAAGAATAAGGATACCGAATCGAAGAAGGACGAGAAGGAGAAGAGGACAGTAGGCAGACCCTCGAGGGCGGAGGAGCTGTCAAGAATAAGAGATAGGGCAGGAAGTCAAACATCAATCATAGACTACGTAAAGAATAAGAGAGGAAGGGAGGAAGAGAGAGAATCGGTAGAAAAAGCAGAAAAAGAAATATTAGATAGTTTCGGTAAAGGAAATAGGGAGATAAGATCGCCGCCAAACAAGATAAAAAGAGAGGAAAAGAAAGAAGAAGGTACGGAGATGGAGGAAATGCTGAAAGAGATTTTAGCGAAGATGGATGAACAAGAGAAAGAAAGAAAGAAGGACAAAGAGGAGATAATGAAAGAGATACAGGAAATGAGAGAGGATTATAGAATGAGAAAAATACTTTGGGAAGAGCAAAAAGAGAGATTAGAAAATAGAATAAAACAGTTGGAGGAGAAAGTAGGAAAAATGGAGGATAACGGAGGCGGAAAGCTAGTGAGTGAATTTACGAAGAAGATGAAAGAGGTGGAGAGAAACTCTGAGATAGTAGAAAGAAGGAGAAGGAGAAATAACATAATCATTAAAGGAATGAAAGCGGAAAATGGAAGTGAAGGAAAGGAGAAGATGAAGAAATTTTTGGAAGAAGAAATTACCAAGAAGAAGATGGAGGTGGAAGAAGTGCAGACAATCGGCCGGGGAGAATACAAAATGACGTTAGTCAGATTCAACAGATGGGAGGATAAAAAAGAAATAATGGCA